TTTTTGTCTTTACATGAGAAGAATACTGTGGTTTATAGTCCACTAGGACTGATATTTGAATGAAAAGACTGATAAGTTTTGGAAGTAAACTGGAAACATTTCTCACTGAAGAGGTGATTCTCCCTGTTCTGGAGGTGAAGGGAGAGATACAAATTGGACTGCCCCACCTTTTACTTAGGTGTTAGTAACAGCTACAAGTGCATATGTTATTGCTGGAGAGCAGGGTATTGAGGATGTAGAGGTAGCCCTTGTGGGCTAGCCCTGTTCCATTTAAGTGATTAATAGGGTTATTGCATGTGTAATCAAGATTTATGTTGCTGTGGCAACAAAGAGAGACACAACTGTGCTGAATTTCCTAGATCTTTGAAGCAGCTCTTCTTACCCAAAATGATATTGCGAATTCCCGTCAGCATGTGAAAACAAGTGTATCTGAGAGAGAGGCCCTCATTAATAGGCTGAAATCTTGCCCTGAATTGAGTGAATCCATGCTGCTCATCAAAGGGTTAGAGAAAATAGGCAGTTGCAAGAGAGAAGACGAGGAAGGCCTGTGGCACAAATTAATCAAGAGCAATTGATTTCAAGACAAATCAGAGCAATGCAGGAAAATGACAGCGTGGTTCCAAGAGGCCATTGACAAAAGCTTTGTGACCTATGCTGGGTACTGTGCTTGGCCTGGATAGAAAGGCAAGGAGGAGCTGTACTAGAGCCAGGTCAAGACTTCACAGTATTATACAGTATTGTATCGAGTTAAATAGTCATGCTGACATAGCACATGCTAAAGGAGATGGAGGAAGTTGTAATAAATGAAAAGAACGTGGAAGATGAAAATTGTAGGTGACTGGGAGGAGATAACTTGAGGTAGGTGAGGAGGTCTGCAAGTCATTCAGAACTGTAGGTAATTGTGAAGAGCTTTTGGTATACTGTGGTAGAGGCAGTGTTTTTGGACTGAACACTACCTCCTGTGCTTCAGTTTCAGGACACCCCAGGCATCTGGGAGCCAGCAAATATTTTGTCACTTGAGGATGAGGTATTTAATACCATTAGTCAACACTGTAAATGAAATGCTTTCAAAACCAACAACAAATATTCAAACACACTCCCCCTCCCAAAAAAACCCCAAAAAACCCAAACATTATTTTTTTTAAAAGTGTTGGAAATAGGGTTGTTGATTTTGGTTGTTTTCATTTCAAGGTCACCTGCTGAAATGTATTTCTTACTTCAGCAGCAATAAAAAATATCCAAGCAATATGACTTTTATGAAAGCAGTATCCTTGAAAAGTTAATTATCTAAAAGGTTGCAGAATGTTAATGGAATGGGAAGAAATTAGATTACCTTAGAGTCAGAGGACTCTTAGTGAGATATATAGCTATGAAAATATATCTCGTGTTTGTACAATTCCTTGCACCTTCTTGGAAGGTGTAATATTTTAGGGAGTTTTTTGCTTGTTCGGCTGGTTGGTTTTAGGGTTTTTTTGACAAAGAGGGAAAAGAGCAGTGTAAGAAAAAGTCAATGGACTACAACCTATTTACTTCTGAACAATTTGTTAATGTACTGCAGTTATATGTGATGGACTGGTGATCCATTTCCCTGCAAATTCAGCAGAATCGAAAATACATCATCCAGTATGATGTAGTTTTCATCCAGTTTCCTCATTTAATAGACCAGCTGCAACAAGGGCCTGTAGTCTCATGAACAAATCACCAGGAGGATGCCCAGGAAGCACTGAAAGGGAAGAGAATCCTGCTCTTCAGTTTTTATCCACGCTGCTTGTTTGCAGTTGGTGGATGTTTGTTGAGCTGCATTCACATCTCGGGGACTTGGCAAGACTTGCTGCAGTGACTGAACAGCTCAGAGTGACTGAACAGCTCAGTGCCAATTTACTGCACACTCCCATCTCTGCTCCAAGCCCCTGCATGAGCCTTTTAGCAGGGGCATAAGTACCAGAGAAGAAGAATGAAGCATGGGAAAAGTATCCATAATTACCACCTTCTGCTTCTCTTCACTGGTCTTATCAGTCTGGGAAGCTTAAATGAGAGCTGGAGCAGATGCTGAAGCAGTGGGATTTCTGGGCAGATTTTCGTTACCTACTTTACAAAACAGACTTTCCAATTATCCAGGAAGTTATATCCAGAAGTTAGTTGAAATGAACATTTTCTACAATTCACGTCCAACAGAGGCACTGACTGTTACTTTCAAAGCAAAGGAGTTGTAATGGTTGTTTTTGTTTAGAAAGAGAAATAGGAGCATTGAGTTTGGCTGGTAAAGTTACATGGGTCTAAGTTTCTGTGGCTTTTTGGTGACAGTATACTTGTGTGAAAGTGGTACAGCTGCGGGTCTGGACAGACTCCTCAGGTTCCTTGTGTTTTGTAAACATTGAAATGAAGAGGTTAATTGTCGGGACATTTCCTGCTGTGCTGCAAAGTAGAACCTGATAGTATTATGGATCTTGATGGGAAAGTCAAATTGGCAAGTTGGATTTCATCATGTGCCTTGATTGCTTGCCAAATATAAACAATCAGCAGGAATGGAAATTGTTACAAAATGGTGCATGAAATAATTTGGCTTTTAGTATACTACCATTATTCTGTTATAACCAAATTATTGTCTTGACAATGTTTATTAAGAATATCTAAAAATAATAACCTCTAATGGTGTGTTGTAAGACATGGAAGTCTCCAGCACATCCTGTGTAGTTGAAGACTCAGTACCAGTTCCAGTGAATGAGAAAGTTAAAGGAAGAACTTAATGGTCTTGGATTCAATAGCAAACGAAGCCAGATCTCAGTCTGCATTGAAATTCAGTGTAGACATTTTAGGAAAATAGAGAAAAAAAAGACAGCGTTAGGAATTCAGTATGAATGGTTGGAAACATTCTGCCTTTTCAGTTCTTTTTAAGAACTGCAAAGGTTGAACAAAGAGCTTCAAGTGGAAAGATGAAAGAAAGCACTTGGATACACTGAACCACATAGTAACTAAACATGAAATATAAATTAAAGCAAGGAGCTTATCAGGCAGAAAAATAAGAGAAATTATTGTTAGTCTTTGGAATTACTAGTTATAAATAGAGCACTCCTAGGCAGTTGAGCAACCAAACAGAGTATGTTTTGAGGCAGAGAAAAAAGACAGCTGGAGACATGAAACACCTAATTTATTTTATTTAAGGGTCAAATAAAAACAAAGGTTTGGGCTTTTGACTCTAAGGAATACTTACTTGAAATTACTGCCACTAACCCGTTCTACGTGGCAACATAACTTGAAATGGATTATTAGAAAAGTTTGATTGAGCAACTTCTGGCACATGTAATATAATTTCAGGTCTATGTTGCCTCTTTTGTTCAGTCTGTTACAGCTTTTCACTCTTTAATGAAACTGAAAATGTGCCTAGTAGCAATGTACTATACTGTTTCTGAATTTAATTTTTTATGTATATGTCTGTATTCACCTAGTAAAAGGTGAGCTAATGCAGGATAAAAGAAAATTGTGGACTGTAGAAAAAAGATAAATTAAGGATTGTGAAAATATTGAACATAAATGTTTTGAAGAGAGATGTTCATATATACTACAGTCAGAATAGACTGTGAAAAGTGCTAACAATTTGTCCCCACCTTTTACACAGTACCAGTGAAATGGATCAAGCCTTACATACTATTCTGTAAACATTCACACACACTTGAAGTATGTTGTTTTTTTCTGTCACTGGGATTAACTCCCATTTTTTTTTAACTAAAAAGATTGTATTTGTAGGACAGGTGTAGGACAGGTTCTGTCTGTAGAACAGCTGCTGTGCCAGCTCACGTTATTTATTACACATATATTTAAAAAATAATAAAAATGTTTTTTCTCATAGATATCATAATTTCTCACATATTCTCATATTTTCTCTTATACTAATATATTTCAATACTAAAAGTGACAGGAAGAATAAATTTTTATTATGGTTCCTAGGTGTATATTTGAAAATCAAGGAAAGTAAATTAAAGTCTTTGCTTCTGACCTTTTCAAATGCAGTCAAAGGAGTAACTTTTATAATTTTATCTTGGTAATACATTGCTTAGTCTGTTTGATGTTTGGAAGCAGGCTTTAATCTCTGTGGAGGTCTTTGACAATTGAATAAGTTTTGTTTTAATAATGGAGAGAAATATTTCCTATGTAAACAGGCGGTTTCAATTAGTTTGAAGGACACCTTAACACTTCGGAATGCAATCTCATCAGCCTTCATCAGATACTCAAACCTCACCTTGCTGGTCCTTGGATGAGAGGATACATTAAGGACAATGTAAGATTCTCTGTGAAGGGATTCAGTGTCTGCATCCACTTGGTATCTTCATGAGCTCAGGGGTAATACTTAAACTTTAAGATACCATTTCTTGAATCACTAAACTAAAATACTTTGCTAAAACATGAAGATAGTGGAGTGCAAGTAGGGAAATTGAGGTTTTGTTGCTGAAAAATTTTAGCAAACTAATCACTTCTAGAGGGCTGATAAACCACAAATCACTTATGCATGATTTAGGGGCTTGGGTTTCAGGGACCAGGCTATATTTCAAGTAACATATTAGCAGTTTGCATATTCACATTAGCAACAACAAGAAAGTTGGTTCTTAAAATCCTGTTCACCACTGGTTGGACTGATCATCGTAAAGGTCTTTCAAAGCTAAATGATTCTATGATTCTGTAACCATTCTGCACTTCCACTGAATACAGGCTCTCTTTTGCACCAGATAAGCTTTTACTATATTGGTAATGTGCCTATTTTTGCATAGGCGTGTGCAGTTACATAATGCTTCACAGGGGAGGTGATACATTCACATTTTTTCTCAACTTTCATGAAATAAAATCAGATCCTTTGAGTAAAGACTATTTTATAAGTATGGCTGGTAGATGGATGTAATTTATGAATATAAGCATACAAGGTCCTGAATTATGCATGCCTATAAAATATAAAATCCATACTGCATCAGTTTGTGTTTTGTTATACATAATCTTCATTATGTTTTCAGGATGGAACATGAGGCTACCCAGCTAGAAAAGCAGCACGTGCACAGTGTGTATGAAAATACAGCTGCCTACTTCAGTGATCTGCAGACCAAAGCATGGCCTCGTGTTCGGAACTTTCTGCTGGAACAAAAGCCTGGCAGTCTCGTTGTTGATATAGGTAAGCCATTCTCTGAGGTGGCATAAAAGATTGTTTATAAGCTTTGCTAGTTTACCTGTTAATCATATTTAACTTTCAGATCAACTGGTTTTTTAAATTATTTAAATCTGTTTTAAAATTGTTTTTAAGTCCCAATGCTAGATACCATATACCACTTCTTTTCATTCTTTGGCAGTGTATCATGTGGACAGTAAATAAATGTTTTCCCTTATTTTTGTTGAGCTAATACTTAAGCTATCCATTTCCCCACTGGCTTAATGGTCTTTCATTCCCCTGGAGCCCTTTTGAAAAAATTATGTTAATAGCCCAATTATTTAATATTTCAATTTCTTTAGATCACTTGGTTTATGTAACACCAGGCTGCAATTTATTGGTTTTCATTTGTTCTAAAACTCCTCCTAGCAAGGCTTTTTATTAAGAGAAATCTTCTGATGTGATTGCTGTTAAAAACATTAAAAAAATCTGACAATCTTCCTGTGATCCTGAATATGGACAGCATATTTAGGTGTTTTCCTGTTATGACATTGTCTTCCCTACATGTAGTATTTATACCTGGATTTTCTGTTGTTTCTGCAGACTTTCTGGGGGCTTCCATGTTTCCTTTGGTTGCATTATGACTTCAGTCCTGTACAGCACATTGCAAAACAAATGCTCGTTTGCACCATTGTGTTTTCCATACTGTTTAAACTAATAAAATACTTTTATTTTAACAAATGTGCACAAGGTTTAACAAAGGTTTAACAAATGTCCACAATAAATTGTGCATCTGCTTTATCCTATAAGACAAAAACATTATTTGAATGTGCTGTAGGCCATAATCAGAAGATAATATGTAGTTCTCCTGCTGCTGTTGAGCATTACACCAAAAATATTTGATTGATCTTATTTTGAGCAGGTAGCTATTTTTATATGTCTGCACCATTGTCACCAATGTCAGGAAATATCCAATGGCCTACAGGCACTCAGCTGAGAGCTAGATTGATACTTTTCAGCCAAAATCATTGCCAACTCAATAGAAGTCACTTGCATCTTAGCTGAAGTTTTTTGAGGCTTTATCAGCAGTGATTGCTGAAAGCTTAAGGTCACCCTGTTGCACTCTCATCTGGAGAGAAAATCAGTCCTTACAGCTGCCAATAAGAATACTCCCACTAAAGCACACAAGCTATCTTCTTCTATGATGTTTAATAAGATGTACAGGAATCTGACTGTTGTGTTTACTTTAGGCACGTATTCAAGGAGGAGTTGCACTAAAGTGACACTAGTGTCTAGTGGCACTAAAATTTTCAAAATGAGATCCTTAATGGGCAATTTTCTTTTCAGTTTAATACTCCCTTTTATTAAAATATAATTTTCTCCATTTGCCTTAGTATTTTTCAGTGCTCAAAACACATGAAAATAGCTTGACCATTGTTAGCTTCAAGGGATTAATCTTCCTGATGGCTCATTTAAAAGTGAATCTCTGACAAATGTAGATTTTTAGAATACTGGGATTACTGATGCTATTTAGCTTCATTCTAGAGAGGACCTTATACTTCCAAAGACTCAGAGTGATTAAAAAGGACCTCACCAAAAGCCGTGTGTTAAGCAACTGAGTCTTCCAAATTCATGATGGTTGGATAAATGTGTTCCTCTGCAAATACAGTACTGAATAATAATTTATACAAATCTTTAAATTTGTAGTTTTCTAACATACAGAGCTTAATGTAGTATTGGATATATTCCTTGAACTGCATTAGCAATATTAGTATTTTCCATTTTTTTCAAGTGTTACTTGAAAGAATAGTGCTTGCTTTTAGCTGAGAAATATGCTTTTTTTCACCACTGAAGTGTTGTTCTGTTCTGCAATAGTTCCTGTGCTGTCTCTCTAGATAATGGTGCACATTAACATCACCAAGAGCAGCAGTGCTACAAGAAGCAGTGATGTTTCTAAAGATAACTCCAGGCCTTTAAATTGAATTACCAGTACTGAGATGATTCTCTTTGCCAAGCTGCTACCCCGTTGCTTGGCTGTCAACTTGCAGAAATTATTCCTTGCTAGTGACCCAGAGCTGCAGTGAATGGTTCCCAGTATAATTTTGAAAAGTGCTTGTTATGCATAAGGCATTGAGGGATCCTCTGAAAGATTTCAATTCTCTACAGCACAGTCCTTGAGAAGACAGACTTCGGGGTGGAAGACATTCTGGAACAGTTCATTACATTATACATGGGTTATAATGCATTGGCACAAAGTCAAAAAGAGGATGTGCCTGCAATATGGAAAGAGCTTCTATGATTTATGGTTATTTTCGAGTCTGTATCTAAAGTCAAAATTTTCCACTCTGATTTGTGTCAGTGGCACTGATGGTTTAGGACTTCTTGGAGAGAAATAGGATGCACTGGAGAAGTACTGCATGGGGTTAAGCAAAGGAAAGAGATCTGTTACAGATCACCAAAAAGACACAACACACTGGCTTCAGGAAATCCTCTGGACAGAAAGCAGTTGGCAGCTGGAATGGCACTGGGGAAAGGGGCCTTAGTGCTTATCCTTTCTTGCCCTCTCCTGGGTGCCCATTTATGCTCATTGTTGGTAACAGGATACCAGGCTATAAAAAGACTCGGTATGAAGCAGCGTGGTTGGGTTTTTATTCCCCAAGATGTACAATACAGAGGACTTTGAGGGATCCTCTGAAAGATTTCAATTCTCTACAGCACAGTCCTTGAGAAGACAGACTTCGGGGTGGAAGACATTCTGGAACAGTTCATTACATTATACATGGGTTATAATGCATTGGCACAAAGTCAAAAAGAGGATGTGCCTGCAATATGGAAAGAGCTTCTATGATTTATGGTTATTTTCGAGTCTGTATCTAAAGTCAAAATTTTCCACTCTGATTTGTGTCAGTGGCACTGATGGTTTAGGACTTCTTGGAGAGAAATAGGATGCACTGGAGAAGTACTGCATGGGGTTAAGCAAAGGAAAGAGATCTGTTACAGATCACCAAAAAGACACAACACACTGGCTTCAGGAAATCCTCTGGACAGAAAGCAGTTGGCAGCTGGAATGGCACTGGGGAAAGGGGCCTTAGTGCTTATCCTTTTCTTACCCTCTCCTGGGTGCCCATTTATGCTCATTGTTGGTAACAGGATACCAGGCTATAAAAAGACTCAGTATGAAGCAGAGTGGTTGGGTTTTTATTCTCCAAGATGTACAATACAGAGGACCATTCTTTCCTCCTCCCACCTGCACTTATCCTTGTTCCCCACAGAAATACAGATAACCTGCTATTATACAGGGCTGTGTAATGAGTATTTTTGTTAGTGATGTTGGTACTGTTACAATCCTAATAGTGTGAATATACAATTTCAACAATCCAAATGAGCCCTGCAGCAGTTAGGCGAGTCGGCACAAAGCCTCTTTTTGTTTGCTAGGAAAATTTAGTATTAGGAGAGCCCAGATATTATTTTCACTGCTTTGGGAGGGAGAGCAAATGTTTGGAATATATGACTTCTGACCTAGCATCCTTTTCTTTAGGTTGTGGAACTGGAAAGTATCTCAGTGTCAACAGTCAAGTGTATAATCTGGGCTGTGATTACTGTGAAGGACTGGTAGAAATTGCAAAGAAGAAAGGTGATGAAGTTCTGGTGTGTGACAACCTTAACCTTCCCTTTAGGGATCAGTGCTTCAATGCAGTCATTTCAATTGGAGGTAAGCCAACATACCTACATTCTGGCCCCAGCAAATGAGAATTTCTGGGGGTTCTTTTCTTTCCATGTGGCTTCATTTCAGTTAATTGTTTTGAAACAGTTCCTTAGAATTACAGGAGATTTAACTTAAATTAATTTAGTCAACATGCAAAAACAAAACTCCCATTACTCAAGAGGCATTGTTGACAAAGGAAATATGCATATCACTTGTTTGTTTATATGTGGTAGGGAAAAGATTTCCTTCCAGCATTCATTGTAAACAAGTGAAAACTAATCTAAACATGGCTGCTCAAAGCTTAAAGAGATGAGATGCTCAAGACAAACTCTTGGTTTCTACACAGCATCTGTTTTGATCAGCAAATGCATTGAAATGAAAACTTTATAGCTGACTTTGGAACTCGCGTTAACTGTTATGTGTTATGAATTCGCATTTCTCTTAGTCATAACAACTCAGATTCATACAAGTGCTTGTTGTCTAAAATGACCAGAGCATCTCTGCATCTTAACTCTTCTGACCTCTCTTCTAGAAAGCACTACTTGTAATTTGAGAAATATAATTTGCAAAGTGTAGATAAAAAAAGAGTACCCAGTTACAGTCTAGGTCTTTAGCTCTAGTCCTGATTGAGCTTCTTTCAGGGTTTTTGAATTCATCAGCTGAAGTACAAAGCATGATAATTATTATTGACAGCAATCAACAAACTACTTGAAATGTGACAGAAATTTATTTTAAAATGTATCTTTCACATAAACAAGTGGAAGTAAAGGGTGACTAATACAGAAGCAGTAATCATATTACTTTGCTTTCATGTTGGCTAGTTAACCAGTGAGCCCTACCCACATTTTAGGTCTCATGGCATCATTTCAGTGCTTATCAGATCAGCTGACTTGGAAGGATAGCATACCTATCTAGTGTTTGTATGAATTGTAAGCCTGACAAGTTTAAAAGTTCACATGCTATTTCAGTACATTTAACAATAATGGATTTTAATCTCTCTTGAATAGAGAAATGGTATGCCTGTGTCCATCTAATTCTAAATAAAGTGGTTTTCATCCTATTACAGAGAAAAACAAGTATTTATGTACTTAGTCAAGCACTCTTCTTGGATTTGTTGGTATAATCATGTTTACAGGATTGATTTTTCTGCAGAACCACCAGAGTGATGGTGGTTCTTCTAACTAGAAGGAATATTTAACCCATTAAAGAATTTGCACAGATTCTGTTGGTTGATCATAATTTCTTTCTGGTAAATTAAGCTTGTATGTGTATGCTGTCTCTGTCAGTTTTGATAAAATTTTGCAGGAGGTTCTGTGGTGATGTATGGCCTAACTCAAGTATGGGAAAATATCAGTTCCCTTCTCCCTATTCTCTGACAAAAAAAAATAATTCTTTTTCCCCAAAGTTTGAGAAAAGATTCCTTGGAGTCAGGAGTACAAAACAAACACTGGAAACAAACACTACTACATAGATGGGAAACTCTTCTCAGAGTTGTCTATTTTGTATTCTCGGCAGCTTGTGAGAGTCTTGTTAATATTAACTGCCAAGAATGCTTTTCTTGGCTTGTGATAATAAAGCTACATTTTTTCTCCCTTGGTAATTCAATCATTGTTTCGAATGAAGACAGGGATAGTTGGATGGACTTTTCATAACTGCAGTGTTGAACTAACACTCTTTCTACAACTACAATTGGCTACTGTCTAGCAGCACATATAATCACATTTTTCTGAATTTATAGAAAAATGTCTTCAGGTAAGAGCATACTCTATTACCTGCTGTTCCGTGGGTAGATTGAATGTTTTTCATGTAGAAGTGGCTGGCTCCAAGTCCACTTAAAACAAATCATGGAATCAGTCCTCTTTACATCACTGAATCACATCTAGTACTGATGACATACAGAACAACATGACCAATGTGTCCAAGCTCAGTACAAGTTATTGTCTCTGAGAGTTTAGACAGAAAACAGTTCTCTTAGCTATTCTCTGACTGGTAAAATTGGCTCATTCATACTCCAGGTGAATAGGAAGATAGAAATAATGCAGAAATCTTGAAATGTAGTGTCACTTCCCATTGGAGTGAAATTTGAAAATGTGGAAATTGTCCTGGAAAGAAAATCAAAATATTGTGATCAAAATTTTATTTTAAATTACGTAATGTAAAAAAATATAAAATGCTGAGACATGCAATATAGACATTATTTTTTACAAAAAAAAATTAATTTGACAAAAATTAAAGAAATGGTGAATATTGGTCTGAATTTTCTCACTGGATCTTTTGCGAGTATGCTGATGTAAAAGTTCAAACTATCTTTTTACTGATATTACATTTTGCTATATTTGTTACATGGTGAAAAGATTTTCTACTTCCAATAAGATAAGTTTGAAAAGTCATCTTGATACTCTCTAACTTACCTAAAGGCTAGGCATTTAAGGGGAAAATTGCCGTGTTATAATGTGTTATGGGTTAGGCAGAGGAACAGAAACCTTCAGCTTATATGCCTGACTTTTCTTGAATCCTTCTTTTGGGATGAGATTGGTTTTCTTCTTCCAGATTTTCCTTTATTAATCTATTGAACATAATCATAAAAGAGAGCAGTCTGAAGTGAACCTCCATTGTGGTACCTATAAATTCAGCACTGTTGCTGACTTGCAGCAAGTGATAATCTGGAATGAGGCAACTGAAATGATTGAACATGTAAAACAGGCTGAAGATGGAAATGCTTTGTCTTTACTAATATTCAGTACATAATACCTTTCTTTTTTCACAGTGATACATCATTTCTCAACTAAACAAAGGAGAATCAAAGCAATAAAGGAAATGGCAAGGATATTAACACCTGGAGGCCAAATAATGATTTATGTTTGGGCTATGGAACAAAAGAATCGTCGCTTTGAGAAACAAGATGTATTTGTTCCATGGAACAAGGCCTTGTGCTCACGCCATTTTTCAGAATCAAATCAATCTGGAGATAAGGGTGAGTTTGTCCATACTGCAAAAGGCCAAGACATACATCCTGCACAGCTTGTCATCTCTGAGTGCAGCTACCAAAACAATCTGCAGCCAGAAACTGATTCTAAACATCCCCACAATATGGACCATTGCTTACCCACAGCCTGCTGCATGAAAATTTCTGAGGAAGAAAACAGATTTTACAGTGCTCTAGGAAGATCTTTCCGCTCATGGTTTTTCTCCAGATCCCTTGATGAATCAGCCCTGAGAAAGCAAAGTGACAGAATGAAGCACCTGAAACACGAAGGAGTGTGGGCCAACAGCGCCGTACCCATTCAGCATTCACGACACTGCAGTTTGGATTTAGGTCACCATGGGGCACTGTTAAACGAACAGGGTTTAGATGATGATGATGATGTGTTTGTGGAAAGCCTGTCTCTCAAAAAACCACAGTGGTCGCCAGCCACAGATGCACTGAAGGATTTAAGTTTAAATGGAGGACACCAAAGTGTAGCTCAGAGCAAGGGGGACAAAGCTTCATTTATAAACGGCCCAGTGGAAGACAGGGACTGCATCTGTGATTGTAGTAAAGATGGTGCTGGTAAGTCTGATGCCAGCAAGTTTTTCAAAAGAACTTCAACAACTGACTCCACTGACTCAGCTTTGGATTCAGCAGTGTCTGTTGGGGACCAAACTGATGCCATGTTGGATACAAAGGCCTTCATGCGTTATTACCATGTTTTTCGGGAAGGAGAGCTGAGTTCTCTGGTAGAAGAGAATGTGCCTGAGCTTCAGATACTTTCTTCCTGCTATGACCATGGAAACTGGTGCATTATTGCAGAGAGAAGAGGAACACAGCTCTAAAGGGAACAAAGCAGAATCCAGTGACTGAGGATTTTAAGCTCTTCCTTGTGTTACTGTGATTGTGCAGTGTGACATGGAATTTGAATCTCGTAGTTGTGTGCTCATTCATTTTTGAGTTATTATCTCTTAACTATTTAACTAGCTAATGCAAGGTCTGTATATAGGAATGTAAGTGGTAGACAATATTTATGTTTTGTTAAACTTTTATGAAGTTAAAACTGTAGAGTTTTATATTGCTTTTAGCAAATAATTGTGTTTTAAAATATACTTTTCTATTGAGAAATAAACCTTTTTATAAAACAAGGATCAGGGCATCTTTTATTAGAAATATCCTCTCAGTAGAAAGTCTAGTCTTTGTTCTTCAGATGCCAGAAGTTTGTCACGTTGCTCCCTGTTCTTGAACTCCTATAATGAGACATAGACACTATGTCTAAAATTGTACTTGACCGTACACTGGTAGAGTGCATGCTGCAGAACTGGGAGCAAGCATGGTTCCAGTGCTCCTTAGCTGGGAGTGGAGTTATTAATGGGCAAAAAACTCTGTACCAAACTAGCTCTGCATATACTGTCATTTGATGTTTGTATTTGGCAGCAAATGACAGCACAGATTGAGGACAGTATTTTTTACTTTTGTTTTAAAAATAATTTTATTTGTTTCTCAGGTGTAGGTGGAGTTTTATGTGTTAGCTCTCACAAATACTTTATCTTCATTTCCTTTGCTGTAGTTTTTCATTGGCTATGTGTATGTAAAAATCAGAGGGATTTGTGAGAGTGTGAGTATTATGTAAAGTTCTAAAATATCAAATCCTTGAAATACATATATCTTTTTGATAAGCCTGGGAAGCTAAGATTAATAAAAATGCAATGCATATCTGGTCAGCTGTTGTATTTACTTTTCTTGTTCACAGACATGAGAATATATATTAACAGTGTTAAATAATGTAGACAGGAAGGGGATAAGCCCAGTTTGCACATAAATTACAAATTCTTGTCTTGTGAAATTTACGTGAACCTTTTGAGACCTAAGTGATGATGGTTTACACAACTTTCCTGTTCTCTCCAAGACATACCATCACTATCCATCTGTAGTAGGTTGTAGCAGTTTATAGTGCTGGGAATAAAAAGCACCAGGCTTCAGAAGATCAGTAGTGGAACTGCCAACAGAAGCAGGGCTAGAAGAGGCTAATTGCCTCATTAGCACAGAGTTACTCAATTTCTGGGCTTAATTCATAGTCAGTGGTTGCAGTGCAGGGCACATCTTCAGCTAGTGTGATTTTGTGACCTTTAATGGAGCTGGACAGATTTCCCCATTCCCTTCTCCCCCCCCAAAGAAACCCCCAAAACCCCTTTTGTTACAGCAGTTTTAAAGAGCTGTATAATTAAGATGTCTGCCCTATTATTGAGCAAGTAGCTTTGAATACAAGGCAATAGGAGTAAAATGCCAAGCTTTTCCAATCTATGCTGTCTGAGCAGGTGGATTTGGGATTGTTCAGTAGAAAACCTCGATGGTGCTGAGTATTTTTTGATGTAGCTTCCCAGCTGTTAATTGCCACATGTATTACAGATTTATTTACTGGAGCAATGTCCTCAAGTGATCATTTTTGTCTTCCTCATTGCTTCAGATCCTTACACTTTATCCTTCCTGGGTCTGTACTGCTTGCACTCCCCCCAGGCCTTTGAAATAAAAGTGTGGCTAAAGAACCATACATTTCAGGCTTCTGAAATACCATTCCATTCTAATTTAAATGTTACTTTCAATACAGCCTGGGGCTGTGGCTTTCAGTTGCTGTGAATGAGCCACACTTCAGAAAATGGGCCATATTGCCTGCCTCACTGGGTCCAGCTGCTTCTGGCTGAGGGGGCTGCATCTGCTGCATCCTCAGGCTCCAGATTTAGTGCCAAAGTGCCCATATTGCAGAGCCAGCATGGATTGTGCTGAGCTCCACACCTCATTTGCAACGTGGTTGTGTCAGGCAGGGGAGGCCTGCCTCTTTTGTTGGGAATTTCTGGATGAGCTTGAGAATTGTGGAGAAGAAGTGAATTGCTTCCAGATAAAGTATGCCAGTGGATATTGGCTGCATCTGCTGCATCCTCAGGCTCCAGATTTAGTGCCAAAGTGCCCATATTGCAGAGCCAGCATGGATTGTGCTGAGCTCCACACCTCATTTGCAACGTGGTTGTGTCAGGCAGGGAAGGCCTGCCTCTTTTGTTGGGAATTTCTGGATGAGCTTGAGAATTGTGGAGAAGAAGTGAATTGATTCCAGATAAAGTATGCCAGCACTCCTGGAATTTGGGCTGCATTTAAGAAAGAGGTAGATTATTATCATGCTATATCCAATTCTGAAACTTCATCCCTAAATGCCAGCATAGAGAAACTTCATTAAACACATATTAAAAAAATTATCAAGTATTATTAATCTTAACTGACAGACGAGTTTAGTTATTTGGGAGAAAGAACATCACAATTTTGTTATATGAACTTCTACAGTTTGACTGTGGCATGTTCAGTGCGTAGTTAAGTAGACTGATGAAATTTGGGGTAACCTGAGAAAGGAAAGATGTCCATTCTCTTAGAATACAGACTTTTCATCCTTGCCAGAGGCTGAATCTGTGTCAGGCTCCAGTTACTATTTCTTCTCTATCTGTTTGAATAACAGTTGTCCTCTCAAAGCTGCTGAAGTACTTTGAACCACTTTTGTGTTTATAGATTTTCCATGCATTATTTGGTTTGAGGTTCTTGCCCAGGGATGCTTTTCACAAATGCTTATTTCTGTATTGAATTTTCTCATGTTTTGAGTTTATGCTGGGTTTGGATTGTATTTTTATAAATTCCTGGGAGAAGGAGAGGGGAGGTTTGGTAAGCAGCTTTTTTTTCCCGTCCCCAAATATTGTCCTCTGAGTTGTATCATCACCATGTAACATAATTTTTATGGAATGGGGTCAGTCAGCTGAGGTTGTGACTGTGAAGTCTGCACATCAAACCTTTATTCTTGCAGGCAGTCTCCCATCTATTGATGGAGCCTGCCCAGATCAGTAACAGCTTCATCATCTCATAAACCAGATCACCTCACTCAGAGCATGGTGAAGGTCTCTCTTGAGTGGTTTCTGTTTTGAGGAGTCACATGTTAAGCAAAAGGTAATTTCCAGCAGAATCCATGCGATCCCAGATTTTAGTAGCTTACAGACAAAATTAATGTGGTCAGAAAAGTGGATCTGCCATTAAAAAGTGCAGTAAATAAATGAATAATAAATAAAACCTAGCTGTCTTTGAATGCTTAAACTTTTGGCAATGTCAAGACTGAAATATCTGACTGTTAAAAGGTAGAAGGCAAATGTGTTTTTACGTTGCTTGTCTGATAATTGGGCAATAATCTTGTCTCAATTCTGCTGATAAAAAACTTGTTTCTGGGTTTAGTGGGCTTGGATTGCTTCTAAGGTACTTGTGTAGCACTAAGTGGCACATGGAGAAGTTTTGATGACATGAGAAGGATGCCCTGGTATCTTACTAAATTAATTCAGGTGAAACTTCTGTGTATTCGTTTCTGCCCATTCCTCTCATCCTATTGCTTGGCACCACAACTGCAATAAAAAATACATTGAACAGATTTCTTTTTCCAGGACTAATACAGTTGTAATCATTGATAAATGTTTCTATTAAAAACATGTGTCATTTTTCTGGTACTAACAGTGACTAATTTACTTTCTTCCAAGCTCGTTGTGTAGAAATTCTAAAATCACAGTTGAGAAATGAAAGCCGAAAATATTTCAGCAGACTTTTCTGGTACTTGTTTTTATACAGGTTACTTAGGAGCACAGTTCAAAATGCTCAGTGAAGAGCTGTATGTTCCACCAGCAAAATCTTGCTAATGAACTGCTTGGGTAGGTTCTGAGTAGAAATAATAGCTGTGACCCTGCATCCTCTGTGGTGTCATGTCTCCATCAGGCTGCATCCATAGCACTGTTGGGCTGTATTAGTATGGACAGTGTGTTAAATCTGCTGCACTACCCATTTTCTTGCTCAGCACTTTTACAGGATTTGGGACTGCTTCAGTACTTCAGGAAAATGAAGTGTGTCAGTGTTAAATATATGCAAGTGCTTCTCTCTTTTGTGAGTTCAGCATTTCTAATTCTTAGAGTATATGAATTCTGGCAGCCATAATTTTATCTTCCAGTCTGCTGGTCAAAACCATGCTTAGGTACTGCTCTGGAGCCGATTCTGTGTCCATACATGGAATCTGTTCCTTAGTATTCAACAGAAATAAATCCTACTTGGTTAAAATATAATTTTCTACAGAATGTGTGTCTTCACATTAGCTAATAAATATATAGCACCTGGAAACCAGTTCTTGGAAAGCTCTTAATGAATGTTAAATTTGAGAAGACTGTGTTAGTGCTGTTTTCTCATTACGTTAGACACATGGACACAATGCAGGACAGGAATCCACAGTGGTTTGTTGTGGAGCAGAGAATCTCTGCCTTTGAACCATTTAAGCTATCTCTACATAGCTACTTAAATTCCTAGAGCTTGGGGTGCTTGAGGACAGCAGACAGCTCTGTTGCTTTTGTGGCAATTCAGTACCTGCACCTGGTTCTTCTCCAAGTGCTCAACAGAGATAAGTTGTCTTAAAAGAATACAAATTGACCTGTGTTTTAAAAAAGCAAGCAACCAACCCCCTGCCAAAACCACCACTACCACTACTAAAAAAAAACCCTAGTAAGGGTGATTCAGCAATTATGATCATATCTAAGTGGAAATAAAAATGTGGAAGAAGGAAAAAGAAAAGTAAGATATTATGTGTGACACTCCTAGCTTTGAAAAGATTTCTGGATATAAATTCTCCATCCCTTTAGCCTTGTTGGCTCTGCTTTGATGAGGGGTTTATGGATGGGACATTGGATACAGGAACAGTGAGATGGTATTAGGTTGCCCTCTTCAGTTGTGACAAAGTATGTTGACTTGTGTAAAATTTTCACTTTGTTGTTGCTTTTTGTACAGCATCTCAAATTCTTTTTTTCTGAATGAAGTATTTCTTGTGACAGTTTCATAAAATAGTAAAATAGATAAAATACATAGCTGAAGATACCTCCTCTTACACATGTGATAACAAAGAAGTCTCTGTGTGTGCACAATCAGATTGCAGGGTGATGCTCTTCTTGCACAGGATAAAAATAAGTCATTTGTGAGAGGCATTTTGGTGAGGCAGCATCATGTTCTTCTCTGTTTCTCTCTTCTGCATCTTTCTTGTGAAAGGAGGAATTGGCTATTTGGGCAGACAAAATGCTGTAGAGCAGAGAAAGGACAGATACTCCAGACAGGGTTAAACCTCTCTACTTAAAAAGGGGAAAGCAGAATGTTTTATGGCTCACTGGCCAAAGCTGTATTCCAGCGTGTCCAAGAGAATGCAAGAGATGAGACAATGAAAAATTTAACAGAGACCAAGTTGCACACAGCATTTCCAGGCTGGTTTAAATTCGTGTTTTATTCCATGATGTAGCCTGATGAAGGTCATTGCCTGTACTGAGCACTAGCAGCAACTATCAACATCAATAACCATCAAGAGTGCTCACTGCTTTTTGGGATCTGGACCTCTCCACTTCACAAAGACTGGCGTTCTAACATGGACCACTGGACCATTAAAAATACTTGTCTAACTCCTGAGTCATAGGTTTAAATAATGAGCAGATACAAATGTATCTCTTTATACACATATTATATATATAATTATTTTAATGCATTTTTTTCCCCCTGCATATGTTAAATGCTTTAGTTACATTATAATACAATGGTAAGTAGCTCTTGGTGCACTTTCAGGGAGGAAAGCAAACAATTTGACAGTGAGGAAGAAAGGACTAAGCCATGAGTACAACTGAGCTGCCAG